CACACACACACACACACACACACACACACACACACACACACACACACGCCTGGTTAAATGTCTCACAGCATGCGTGTAGTTAAAATGGCCTCCCCTGCTGTTCAGGTGACATCTCCCTTCATCTATCAGCTTTCTCCACCGCTGCCTCAGTACCCAGGGTCACTGTGACCTCTCGCCGACACAACGTGGCATCAGCGGTGGCGTTTCTGTGAATGCTTGTGTAGCTGTGCGGACACACGCTGCACACATGAATGCTCACACGCCTCCCAACACTCGCTTCGTGCCTTCACTCACACACCAATACTCACAAAAAGCCTGACTTAGATGTTGTTGTTTCCTTTGGCGAAACTGGCTCTCAACTTTTTTTGGGGGCACGTGACTTTTTCAACATCTTGCTAGCGTAGTTCTGACTTAATAAGCCTCACAAACGTAACCTGCTTTGCTGGAATTCACCAAACTAATCAAAAAATGATTCATGTTGATGCATTATGAATATTGTTAGATCAAACTTTAAAGTAACCAGCTTCTCTGGAGCAGCAGCGGCTGGGACTCATCAATGTAAGTGGCGATGTTGATTACTAGAATGGCTCAGCATTTACTCCGACAGCAAAGTCAACTGGTTCTTTTCGATTCGGGTTCTGTGTGACTGCAGCAGCGGCTTCATGGTTCTGAGTTACTGTAAATTATTTCAACAGGCCAAGCCAGCAGCACATTCCAAACTGTCACGTTTAGGAAAGGCATTATTAAAAATGTAGAAAACAAAAAAACAAGCCTTTTCAATTCGGATTTGCATGTGGATTACCATAGCAACAGAGAAATCTTTGGGGCTTTTGGTTAAACCCAGATGTAAATTAAAGCTGAGTCTTGTCACTTTAATAGTGTCCGTTATTTTACTTAAAACTGAAGCTGAAGCTCAGAGCGTGAGAGACATCATAATACCACCAGTGTGTTATGGGCTGTTATTAGAGCACAGAGAAGCAATTTTATACACAAAAACTTGATGGTATATCATAGATGATAAGAAATGGATGTGGTGTGTACTTTACTGAAAACAACTGTTTAAAAATTCATTATCAGGTTTCTTATGATACCCTGTTCACTAAAATCATTAGTCACCTTATGTGAGGAGTCCTATACAGTCATTGTTTGCTATAAACCAGGAAGAGCTGGACTTATTTGCAAGTATATGGGGAGGCTATTAAAATTCAAATGTGGAACTGCATGCAGATAAACAAGCCTCACTCTGTCCCTGATCCCTGCTCTTGCATGTGGCTGCATTTGTTCTGTGTAGAGATGAAAGTTTGCTGAATAAAACGCAAAACATGTTTTAAAGTTTAGTCAAAAAATAAAATAATAAATCTGCCCAGAGGAAATTAATGAATTTTAAACATATTGTAAATCACACTTAATGCACTGTGGATTTTATGTTTTGTTTTTCATGCCTGAGCCGATCGTTATTTACATCAAAATAAATGCAACATTTATGAGAACTATTTGCTGTTTTGTATGAACTTTAAACCTGCGTGTCTGTCTCTTAATGACATGCATTTAAAGTGAAATCACTATACACACACAACAGCATATAATTTTTTTTTAAATTTCCACTTCCAAAGGGGCCATTGGAAACGATCACATTCAGTGTTTTTATTTTATTTTCAAGGCTTCAACTACTTTCACTGTTGCAGGTAAAATACAAGTTAATGTGTTAATCAGCAAGAGCCTGTTTGTTTCCTTGAGCACTACTGCTTACCTATGTACTATTTAAGGTTAATCACTGCAGTGGCGGATCTAGGACTTGTCTTGATCAGGGGCCATTAAGGGGCCACAATTAACATAAAGTTAGCCAGTTATGTCCATAACCCCCATGCAGATTTCCTGAGTCAGTAAGGTGCACATTTCAGACGTTCCTTGTTCACTGTTAGCTCTAAAGTTTTGCTTATCAATCATCATTGAATATAGTTTGAAAATTATTCTTTTTCAACAAATTGTGAACCTCAAAAAAGCTTAGAAAACAAACATTTATCATATCATCATATCATATTTTTGTTATTTATTGTTTTATTTTTATTATTGTTCTTTTTAGACCACTGATAGGACAGGGGCACCTCAGGGCCCGGTCGACTCTAAGCCGGGGCGAGTGCCCCCTCAGTCCTGCCCCTGGATCCGCCCCAGATTCAGAGGACTTGAACTTCTGAGGTAGACAACGACTCTGACCTTTAAAAATGTTCGGCAAGAGGTAAATATTAACCGAAAACAAACTTTTGAATTTGCATGATCTGTGGAGACACAGGGCTGTTCATAGATCGAACTCCACCAATATTTGAATATTAAACAAATGCATCTCTACTGACCACAGTTCATCTGATGACAGTAAAAAAAAAAAAAAAAAANATGTAAGATCATATCCTGGGCACATGGAGCTCTTGAGTGTGTGTAATAATAACCTCTTTGACAGCTGTGGCTTGTATTCACATATTAAATTTGTTCGCGCACCGCCTGCCAACCTTGCACCAACGTTAAAAATAGCTCAGTGTTATGTTTGGTAGATCCGTGTCCACTAATCACCCACGACACCTGCAAAAAAAAAAAAAAAAAGAAAAGAAACTGTCACAGGATGTAAAACCTGATAGTTCCAAACACCAAATCAAACTGACCAGGCTGACAGCACTCGACCCGACTCCAGCAGGTAAGAGACTTTCTAAAATCACACGCAAAACAAGAATGTAATTCACCACAGCATTAACTGAATTACATTAACTATTAGAAACCCAGTACATCCAGTACGGCTGTGCATGAGTTAGAGTTAAGATTTACTCTCATTAGGATTCCTCCCCTTGTAAAGAATATGATTGTTGTTTTATTTATCTGCACTTATTTATTTAGCCGTTTCACCATTGGGACCTTATCAGAAGTGTGAGGATGAAACTTGTGTTGTTCATGCTGTGTTCGGGTAAGGCTTCCTTTCTTCTTTCTACAACACAAAGTACATGGACGACAGTGTAACAGGTCTTCTATGTGTTGCCTCCACTATAACAGAAAATGGGTGTGCAAAATAATAATGTGTGCATCTGAGAGGAGGGGACAGGTGGTTGAGTAGTTACTGAAACTTGCTGAATTTAACGCATTTTAACAGTCATAAGTGACAAGTAAAATATTGTCTTGTCTTCTATCTTTACAGGATTTGTTCACTTTACATCTGCAGCAAATCGTTTACGACAGTTCAGCCTTCATGGTGAAGTCATTAAATCGTCTTTAAGCAAATGTAAAGAAGATGATGCGTCATTTGTGACCCTGTATGACGAGGGGGACGCCACGTTTCTGAACAGATATCTGGCTGACAAAGTTAAACATGAAAGTGTCTGGCTCGGTCTGAAAAGGAGTCGAGAGATAGTCACCACATGGTCGAACGGCGACTCTTGTACATTCCTTTTATCAGATGTGACTGGAAAACCCGGGGAGCAAATTTGTGGAGCTATCACAAATAACGAATTGAAGGGTTCTAAGTGTAACAACAGATATGCATTCATGTGCTACAAGGGTAAGTGTCAATACACAACATCTACATATACCTCCAACCAACGCTCTTCTTATGAAACCACATTTAAATTCTCTAAAAATATATTAGGATCTGCACCAAATTGCACACAATCGCAAAAATCCGTCACCTGTATTTTCCTGATTTTTTCAAGATCCAAGAATTGTACTTTGAGGAATGGAGGAAAATGTTGAAAAACTGAGGGAAAAGAAAATAGTGCGCCTCCAGATCAAAGTGTAGCTCTGATGTGGATCCACACCTACATTTAAGGGTTCTTCCCTGTTTCAGAGCGCAGCCTTCCTAAAGGTTTCATAGTTATCTGTCTGGTAGTGTTTGTGTAATCTTGCTTACAATCCAAGCAACAAATATTATTCCAAATTCTTGTTAATTAAATATTCAAAATATTGTTTTTACTTGATATCAGCCATCACTTCAGTTTACATCAAAATAACAAATCATTAATAAAAACACACGTGTGTCCAGGCTGTTGTGTTATAGTTAAAGATGTTGAGGCCCCCCTCCCCCTTATTACAATTAACTTCTAAAAAGACAGCAAATGGTACTTTACAAACTTTGCCTTATTGCTTTTCTTATTACTTATACGATAGAAAAAACTTAAGGCTACATTTCTGTTTGTGAGTTTCTGTTGTGAAAATAACCCACGATAAAATGTAAGTAACATTTTTGATTTTGCAGGAAACAAATACCACCTGATTGAACATGAGTCAAAGAACTGGTGTCAGGCACAGCAGTACTGCAGAAGACACTTCAGTGACTTAGTCAGCATCTGTGATGATGAGCAAAACCAACAAGTTCTCGAAAAAGGAAAGAACAAAACCTTTTGGATTGGACTCATGCACGATGAATGGGAGTGGATGGACAAGAGCTGCTCGACGTACAGAACGTGGGGAAACATAGATATGGTATCATCAGAGAGGTGTACAGCTAAGATATTCTCTTCCAGCTCATTGTATGCAATGAGTTGTTCCAATAGTGCAAAAACACTTTGCTACAAAGGTAAGCCACAAAAAGCCGAGCAAAATATAGATGTATACTGTTTTAGAAAAGAAACATGAGAGATTAATGCAACACAGGAAAAGATTAACACACTTAATATGATACAGACGGGATGATGTGGTTTAAGATGTCATCCCCTGAAAATCTTACATCTGTCTTTTACTGGGTTTTCAGGCAAAGTGAGAATCGTAGTCATCATGATGAATTATACTTGGGAACAAGCTGTGGATTACTGTGACGCAAATCACTCTGGCCTGCTGAGGATTGAGGATGACGAAGATCAGAAGGCTGTTGCTGAACGCTTAAAACACACCACCGTCAACGGTCCTTTCTGGATCGGTCTGAGGCAGAGTCGTGTCTTTGGGTTCTGGATTTGGAGCGACAGGGCGGTGACCTACAGCAACTGGGAGAACAACCAGCAGCCGGAGATGCCCCTGTCTGAAAACTGTGGGGTCATCAACAAGACGAACTACAGGTGGAGGGATGAAAACTGTTCGCATGAGCATCCATTTCTTTGTGAGGAGGAGATTTCATTCATGAATTAAATAGGATATCGTTATAAAGCTTCTTGATAAATGATTAAATTAGTTTGTGAAAGATTCAATTTGGGTCAATGTCTGAAGATCATGGAGAAAAAAGACTTGATCTTTTTAAATAATCAGACTTTTCTACAGGTGATTTAATGTAAAGTTACACATTGATGAATTTGACAATTTATTTAAAAGTGTTTATATAATTATTATTATTATTATTTTGATACCATCATTACAACTGTTAGTACTACTTATACAACTACAACTACTAATTTTACCTATGACTGTGTGAAACATTTGTATCAGTTTGTCAATCAGAAGGATTTAAATGATGACAGTCTGGAGGTGAAGTGACGTGTCTGTCCCGATCAATCTGGTCAGATTCTTCTTGTCTCATTTAGTGATTATTCAAATGTATATTTTATTTTAACATTTATAACTTTAACTAAATGCCAAACATAATATACTCAAGATTTTCTTTTTCTCTCTTGAATTTAGTCATTCAGCTGGGATTCAGCACAACAAGGCGTAATGAGCCAAAAACACATAACTGACAAGCTCATGGTTGATGGTTAAGTCTTTATATTAGTTACGTGAAACAGTGAAGAAAAGTAAGTTTGTAGAAAACATGTTAGAACCCTAATTACTTTAGTGTAAGATAATGTTTGCTTTATTGTTTTCCTTTCGTGCAGTGTGTGGGTACATTTATCTCCAGATAATCTGATTTCAAATTAATTTCAAATCAAACCATCACACAAACTTTCCAGTGGAGTTTTGTGTGGGGGACATTGTGTGCAGAGCTTTTTATAAACAGTCTATTGTGCAGAGTAAAGTTAGAAAACGTTGTGTTTATCCTACCTGGTTTATTTTGTCCCATCACTTTATATGACTCAATAAAAATATGTAAATGCAGCATTCAAATGTGGGATTGGGAATTACGTAAATTAAAGAGGAGTGGAAAGTATCAGGAGAGACACACACACACACAAAAACAGGCTTGGAAAACTTCCAGAGCCATTATTCACACTGTGGACAAACTTGGGATGAAGCCTGAATCCGTCACACCCTCATTCATCCTTATTACTCATCTCACAGCTCACAGTGTGAACTTGTGTGCTCGAGCTTCTAAGCCTCTTGTTCATCGCTCATTCCAGACTTTCCCTTTAACTGGAGCTCAGCTCACATCTCTGACCGACTACATCAAATCATGGTGATGTGTGTGATCGCTGCTCATCGAGAAATCACAAAACACACTTCGCTGCAGCATAAATCACCAGCCAGTGAAGCACATGTCTCGGTGTAAAAGCAGCAAAGTGTCATGGGCAGAGATATGGCCTCAACGGGGGGTAGAAATGAGACACCACTTGGGGGTTGAATGACGGCTCAAGCCTGGTGTCCACCCTGCCCAGGCGGAATCGTAACTCAGTGATGCCTCCGCCAAGGAAAGTCCAGAGCTGGGCCTGATTTAAAATGCTGCAGCCAGTGTTGAAATTTATCAGAACTACAAATATGCCAACCAGTGTCTGTTCCATTAAACACAGTCAAATTACTTCAAGGAAATAATTTAGGATATCTTCATACATAAAGGCAAATTAAACAATTTTGTAAGAGAAAAATATAAATTGTCCAAGTTACTGACAAAGAAAATGCATAATAATGAAGAAGGAGATAAGTATTGAGTTCTTAGTGTAGGAATGTAGATGCATCAAAATGATCTACTTCATACAGTACGGTATACATGTAGAGGATACTGCCACAGAGAGCTTAGCATCTATCAGAATGAAACTAGAGTTAGCACCTTGGGGCTGTCTGCCTCCACCAACCAGTCAAGTTACAGGAAATATAGTCCCAACCTCTTTTCCAAAGATGACAAGAAAATAAGGCCTTAGGATATAAAATCTTATCATTTCACCATCTTATATAATCAGAAAGTTGTTGAGAATGTGTTATAATTAACGTTTTCATTCTTGAGTAATTGCGGGTGGGTTTGTGGACTGTTCTCAATCTGCGATCTTTCACCACCATCGGTGCCACTGTGAAGTAAACTTTGTAGGGATCAATTTGCATTGGGAACTTGGAGGCACTAGCTGCTAGTGGACTGCTGGAGGACAACTTGGCCAGTAGTTTGATTGTAACTGGAAATTTGGCAGTAAGTGGCCAAGTGCATGATTAGCATGGCGCTGACTTGATGGTGAGTGGTCTACTGGCAGTTGAAAACCACTCCAGGTTGCCATCTCCATCAACATTACTCAAGTCCTGCTTGGACAACAGTCTTGTCCCAAAAAACAAATATCACAGCAACAGAATTTCATTTTCATTTTAGTCTCACAACTAATCCAAAGTAATAACTGTAACCAGGAATACTGATTCAGTTTAAATAAAGTAGTTTTTGCCACATACCTTCTGCATTAATGGATCAATCCTTCATAGTTACAAACCTTTAACAAAACCTTGTTCAAAGTTTGAAAACTCTGAGGTTGCGTTTTAGGGTGGACCAGCAGAAATGTTTGGAATGCAATGATGTCGGCTTGTGGAGGAGTTCAGAGTAAAGCAGCCTCTATTAGAAACACAATGATCGTCACAATGTTACACCACTGGATAGTCTTTCATCCCCTTTGTGTTTTTGCTGTTTGTCGCTTGAATGTCCTACTATGACGTTTAATACATTCTAGATATATATATAAACAGTAAGTAACAATGTCACTGCCTTCATCAACAAGTATTCTTTTACAAAACGTAAGCTTAACTCCCAGATGTCTGCATGTTCTAAATATTCTAAGATGCAGGAGAATAGGTGCAGCAGCAGTCCTCAAATTGGTTTGTAAATACCAAAAAGCAACTTAATGGAATACAAGTGCTCTGCTTATGTCGCTTTCTTGAGGAGAACGTAAAAACACTTTTTGAGTGAAATCAACAAGGGACTGTGGGGCTCGCCTCCAACCAGCCAGCATATGCATCCTATATTTGATACACAAATTCCTCTGCTTGCCTGCTTGTTAAATTTCTGAAGTGCACACTCAAGCCAGACGCACTTTCAAAATGGGATTTGTATTTGTGCAGCTTGAGGTTGGTTGTTTATAATCTTGTAAAAAAGGAACTGCAGGAGGAATGTCTGTTTTTAAAATCTGTAATAAGAGAGACTGGATTGAAGTAGCAGTGCAGAAGGGTGGGGAATAAAGGAAGGAGGAGTAATGGTAGGAAAGAGAAGGAGAGATTTGCATGGAGCAGTAACTGAATCATGATTCGACGTGATTGAACTCAAGTGAAGGTGAATATTGGTGAGATGGGACTTGTTTGAACTTCTCACTGGGCAAAGGTTCCGTAACAAACTGGTTACACACACACACACACCCCTTCCTCTGCATCAACTCTACTACTATGACCTGACGGCAGCTTCGAGAGCCAATTTCAAATGTAAATTAGCCGTCTCTGTGCCGAACATGTCTGAAATGCCATTACTCATTGGGATATTGTGAAATCAGCCATTAGCGACAGAAACCTCATGAAAGGTTGTCAGGGTCTGGAGCGGAATACTAATTACGAGAGAGCGTCACTGCTGAAGCGGGGGGGGGGGGCAGGGTCTCCAGTTACTAGTGGCAACCCACTAACAATTATATATAATTATAATAAACATCTTGATTCCCTTAGTGTATGTTAATCTTTCCGAACAATAAGGATACACACACACGTTGACACCCTGCTGTGTGTATGTATCAAAGCCGTCGCTGCAGAACAGAAAAAATTTGGAGCCATTTGTTTGGTTTGATTCACTATGAAAGTAACAGAAAATAGAAAGTACACAGGACAGGCTGACACAGACCACTTTAAAAGAGTTGCTTAGGTAACAGATGTGTTGTTTGGCATGCAAGGAATCTGGGACACAGAGAGGCTGCACTGTGCGAATCCACCGTGGCAACAATCAGCGAGGAGATCGTACAATGGTAACATTTTCCAGGTGACTCAGGATGAATTATTAATTTGACGGTGAACTTTGCAGTGTCGTGTATGAATCAAAGTAATTGCAGCATATTAGAGTGTAAAAAGGCTTCTCGCACACTTTGTTGTCAAAGACGTGCGGTGAACCGTGAACCCGGTGAAATGTCACTCTCCTCACTGTTGGATGGAGCAGACGCCGCCAGAAGTTAAAATCCATAACCTGAGTGGAAACTAGAATGGCAGTCAATAGAGTGCAGACCTCTGCCACAGACCAACAGTCTCCTTATGAAACCACAACCAATTGTACACAATCATAAATATCAGTCCGATTTTTTTTCCCATCAAGACCCATGAATTATTTTCTGAGAAGTCAAGAAAAATGACTCTCACATTGTTATTGAATACAAAAAAGTAAAAAGAATTATTATTATATATTGTTGGATTGATTTTACAGCATCTTTGTATATACAGCATTTTCAAGTTGATTCACACGAGCTACTTTGGCTTCAGTACTTTATACACTCAATCACTTCAATCTTATATTTTGGATTGAAATAATTTGAGACATAATTTGTGAAGGTTTCAGAACCATTAAACAAACTGACTAAAAACCTTCACCATTGGATATGACCACGTCAGACATGAAGTAATAGTGTGAGCGCTTCACAGTCTGAGTTCAGACCTGGGTTTATAAACTGTACGAGGTCGGGTAGCTGCTGCTCAGAGGGTCTGGCATGAGTGCATGTGTATGTGTGCACATTTGAAGCAGCATGCTAAATATGTCCACTCATCTCTAGTGTCACCAGAGCCCCGGGCTCACACCATGACGTTAATAGTTTATCAGGCGCCACTGCCCGCCTCTCATTCCCTACCTCCATCTGCTCCTGTACTTCCTCCTGGCTCTTCCCCTCTTTCTTTTGTTTTATCTATCACTTTCCTCCTCTCTCGTTTTGTCTCGGTGCCTTCGGACGAACGTGGGCCTCAGCCATGATGCGACTTGAGTCGGAAAAAAATTTAATTTGAAAAAGAACTAAAGTCAAGTTAACTTTTGAGCAGATGGGAAACCGTTGGCAAAG